GAGGCAGCAAAGACCTCTGAAACGAGGATGGCTGTCTTCTGGGTTGTAGGACCTCAAAACACTGAAAACTTCTACCAGAATACACGGCGAAGAACCAGTATCTTGTATGAAAACAGAAGTTCGGTACATTGGAAGAAGTCCCGCGGCTTACGACACGTGGCCCTACTTTCACCTGTTGCATTGAGGCTGTCCCGTCGCTCTGTATGCTGCACATGCATCACCAGCCTCCACACATCGTGATCTGCGCATCCAGAGCGCTGCCCACACTTGATCGTCTCAGCGTGACTGATATCAGTTTGGCAACCGCATCAAATTACAACAAATCTTATTTATTAATTAGTATCAGAGTAGAAAGCCAATCGCAGTACTTCGACCGAATTATTACCAGCGCCGGAAGATCCCAAGTCCCTCGGAACATCTAAATTTACTTCTAAATTGTGAAATGACGTTTAGGAGTTTAAGTCCTCGGATTGACTCTCGATGAGATTACTGAGTCTCCTGAAATTATTTACATTTTTTCATTCCTTCAAGGCAAGTTATGGGATGGATATAATAGTCAACTTCCATACATTTAAAAGTAACTTGTGACTTCTTCCAAGTTTAGTAGTTACGAGGTTGAAAAAGCTTTGTTAAATAAGAGAATAATGAGTCCAGGAATGTGAAATTTGATATAGATATGGATAATAACAATAATAACGTATCTCATATTAAACATTTTTGTGGTTCATCAATTGAAAAGACAAAAGTATTGGAAACCAGCCCTTGCAGAAATTCTGTGCCGAGAGATAAAACCTTACGTATTAATTTACACTAGCTTCTCTACACACAGGGAAACATTTAAATGAAATAGAACATCATAAGATCCTTTTGGAACTTCTTTAGTCGTAGCTTTACTGCACGAGTTAAGATAAAAAAAAGCAGCAACACGAACTTGCGGGAAATTACACAAACTGCGAAGCTGCCATCACGTGGCTCAATCAATCAACACGTTTCTAGCACCCACACACCTGCTTTCTCCTGTCTTAAACACGTTCAGGGCTCCCGGGTTACGAACGGTGTCAGTAAAATGTTCGTCTCAGAGAACAGACAGCGGATGAAGAGACCGATGTTGTCACGATGTACGCTTCACATTCAGAAGGTCCTTCGTTCGTATTTCGTATGGATTACCGAAAATCTTGGCAACTTATTTCTTAGTTTTCTTCAGAACCTCCAGGAAAAGCTAATACCATGAATATACATTTATAGAAGCTGTTATGTAAACATTCGGAAATCCACTTCGACTCAGATTACTTAAAGCCAGCCTGCAGCCCTTAAGAACTACCTCTCGTGGCCTCTCACTGACTACTGAACTCATGGGTGCTTCAGAAGTGGGAGACTGACTGGTGTTTCCGTTGCTTTCAACGTATCAGAATGAACTTTGCTTCAAGGACACCATATAGAAGGTCAATGACATTTGGGGAAGATTAATCAACACCAGAAGGTCTTCCTTGAGCAGGTGATGCCCATTCGCCTGGTAATTTTATCTGTTTATGGTGAATTTGACGATATTTTCGATGTATCATATTATATACCATCGATTGGTAGAATTAGTGACAAATAGTATTGCAATTATATGTAAGGACGCAGTCATTGAGTAATTTACGATGTTATCCCGGAATCTGCTTCTAGGGACTGGTAAAACCACGAAAAACTTCAGGAAGGAGAACCCGTCTCCGGCCCATCATTTAAACCCAGGATCTCCTGATTACGAAGCAGGAATTCTAACCACTCTACGTTTAGTCCACCTGGTTATGAAAGAACCTTTCCATTAATGTTGGTCATTAAACCTGACATTGCAACGGTCTTAGCCATCCAGTCAATTAAAATACTGGAGACTGATTTTGTATACAACCACGTCTGAATTAAATTAAATGCATTACAATAATTCGAAATATCTATAATTTTTGATCTCGTCTTTTTTTTGTATATGTATATTACTTGCGCAAAACGAAGACTTTTCTCAACAAGAGTTTAATTATAAATTTCTAACTTCCTGCCCGCTCATGAAAGTATAACTAATTTATTCTATTCGATTTTCTTTAAACATAAACATTTTCCCTTCAAACGAAACCTGACTTTTTCTTTTGGTCTATTTTATCTCGATGATAAGCCTAAACAAAACCAAATACGTTAAATGACTCTTACAGGCGAACGAGTACACAAAGCAGAATAAGTGCTGACCTCGAACACTCAAATGCCATCACGAACAACAGAAAACGGGAACTCCAGGCTCATGGACGGTGCTGATCGCTAATTGCTTCACATATTCCAAAACAATAGAACCTCAAAGGTGCACCTAACATCGATGGGGCATGGGTACTGAAAGCGATGGATTCGTTCATCACAGGTCACCTGACGTCATCAGAGTCGACGGCCGTTAAGGAAATACAAACATTAATGCCACTTTATAAAAGCAGCGATGTCTGAATCGAATTGAAAAACACTCTGTATCACTTCGTCATTCCACGACAAACCGCTCGGCAGCAGATGCATCGTTTACAAAGTGATTTATTTAAGCTTTCGGCCTCGCTTCGTGAGTGCCAGATTGTCGCTTCACAATGTAGGACGTATGCCAACCCAGGACTACGCAAACCATCAGAGCAAAATGGCTGCCACAGATTTTAATTCTTTGTCAGTGAGGTTATGACTCTGCTTGTTCAATCCGATGTCTTATTCCCTCCATACTTAACGAACCGAGGCCTAGGTTAGCCTCGTTTTCAAATTCTTTACCGTCTGACGCAGTGATTCTACAGGCTTGAATTTATTCACCATTACCAGTGGATCCCTGATTGACTGACTGAATGACTAAGTCCTCTCTCTCTCCCTCATGAATATGTAATATCTGTTGTCATACTGGGCTGAAATGTGATTCGTGGTTCCGAAGCAAGTATGGAACACGGTGAGTAAAAATAATAAATTTGATATTTGACGTTTGCAATGAGGAATATATGTACCGTCGGATGTCCTTCGCGTGTATTTATTAACTTGGCTTTCACATTAGCATAAGATATGAAGATGAAAGGGAGATTTTTCAGAACTAGATCGTGCAGTCGAATGACGAAGGAGGTTACTTTCTGTCGGTTATTTCCGTGTCAAGTCGAAGTATTCAACTAAGTACATGCCTTATGACAGGGTTTCTTAACCAGTGATCCACGGCCGGGTACCAGTCCTTGGGTAAAATACACAATTCTACAAATTCTAATTTACATATTTTGCCACATAGAAAGATTTCTGTTTTGTTAAAACTGGCTACATTCCTTTTAACGACGAAACAGTTCAGGAGTTACGTCTACCCCTACAGAACTGCACATAACGTGTATGAATACAAAGCCGTATAGAATAAGGGTATAAGTACATTAACACATTTCCTCTCCCCTTCTGCACCTGCCAAAAATTGAGAAAAAGGTTAAGAAGTTTTGGAGTCAGAAGCTGCATCTCAGAACTGAAGAGGAGGACGGTTTCACAACCACCAAATCCTCTTACATTTTAATACTACATACAGGCCTTATGAATTATTACATCATAAATAAAAGAAGCTATGCATGGTAATAAGTTTTTAATTAGATTTGTAGGCTGCTCCTAGGTCATTATACAAGTTCCACTCTGGGTTTAATTGTAGATTGTATGCGTACGTCATCTGATTCCCTTCTTGTCTCCAAACTGAGCGGTACGTTTTGATCTCGTCAGCCATGTTTGTACTTTTAAATTTGCTGCTGCATTAATTTTGCAATAAATCCTGTAATACTACTTAAGAGTATAATTCTAAAACATCACACGGAAGGGTGCGGAAGCCTAGCAGATATGGCTGGGTGGCGTGAACGTCTTCATCGAGGTCTGTGGACCGACAAGTGTCCCGTTTCCTAGAGCCTTAAATGTGTCTGAAACACACGTAAAGGGACTGTCTAGGGGCCGGGGGATATTTTATAAGACAGTTAAAACATGCAAGATTTTGGCAATATGAAAGGTAAGGAAGATACTACGAAATCGTGACCACCCACGGTTTTTATTTGCCGTCCTAACAGCTTAAAACTGATATTTATTGTTATTATTCACACCTCACCATATTTCGTCACTCAATTTGCACCTCCTCACCTTCATGTCGCAGTGTTTGTCTTAAAAATCACAAGACCCTATTGGTTCCGCCACATGCTAACCATAACACACCACAAAGCACCACGTTTGAGCAGCCTGCTTCGAATTCTCGAGTTCCCGGATTCAAATCCCGACACAGACAGTGACATGTCCCGTTTAATTTCAAGCGCCCTTGATTATCATGGATTTTTCTAGTGAAATATTCTAAACAAACGCTGACCAGCAGTGCAATAAAACAGTCCGTTTTTCCTGGTTCAAATACACGTTAATTTTGACAGTGGTCTTCTGGGTTGTTGCGCCCTGCAGTTATTTTGGCTCTATATAGAAGTTTCGGGAGACAATTCTGCCTCCGTCTGCAGGGATGAACATGGGGGTAACGCATTCCTCAGAAACGACAGCATACAAAAAATAATAGACATTATATGGAGCAAATACTCGTAAGACCACTATCCTAGGCGTTCAGATATTTCGATTTTCGGTCCTGAGATGCCTAATAGAATTACGTCTTTAGTTTTTAAGATTCATTTGGCTTAGATTTTTAACTATTGCAGCCTGATCAATCTGATGTAATTACTTCGAGCATTCTTCATCCACCAATTACTGATATAAGTCGCACGGCGATGTAATAATTGTATCAGGGGAACCAGAAGTATCAGTGGGTGCTTAATATATTATACAGTGCAATAAATAAGTTGTGCAGTTTAAAAAGCTTTCATGAAATTCCAAATTACCTGAATTAATAATATTGGCCTGATATATCAAGGTATTCAAACCGAACTTTGAACTGTTACGATCGTCATTTGCAAAATACACGTCGCTCACGACCGCTGTGTAAAATGATGCGGCGAACAAGAGAATCTCAAACTTACCGGTGCATATTCGGCGCAGATGTCAATGGACGCGACGAAACTGCACACATCCTCAACACTCCACTGCGCCATGGCTTGAGGGTCGCCACCCGAAGAACACGCCCTGTCCGCCGAACACATGGATAGACACGGCAGGTTCCTTCCCAAAACGTGCTGTTGACTCGCTGTCGCGGACGCCGAAGTCACGGTGGACGACGGTAACAACCTCGGGCTACTCCCGGCAGAACTACCGCCATTATTTCTCACCGGAGGCTTGGGCGAGACACTTCCAGTCCTTTTTCCAAGCCTCTCTTTCGTAGTCCTCAACGCATCAACCATCGGCACATGAAGTAAAGAGTCACTGTTTAGGAATATAGTCTCACTAGCACCACCAGCACCCTTGTTAGTCCGTGATCTCTTATACGTAGGGATGGACCCAGAAGAAAGATCGAGGGGGCTGCTTTCGGAGGGCGACGGCCTCTTGTTAGCGCCCTTCAGGTAATTCTCAAGCTGAGACGCGTTGTGTGCACTGGCTGTTCGCACCATGCTGAGGAGAGCCTGGGTTGAGCTCATGTCTATGAGGGGAGGGAATATGGGGGTGTTGCTACTCGCAGCAGTGCTGAACGGGTTCGCACCAAAATTGGCTGCGGCGGCAGCATACAAGGCTTGCTGAGCTTCCACCGACGAAGAGACGGGTTTTTTCAGATGGTTCATGTCTATAATACACTCTTTTGAAGACGCAGAAGTACCACCGATGGAGTTACCCGATGTCGTAGACGCACTATTACTGTTCGCCGTCGTACTGTTATTCTTCTGATGACCCGGAGATGGCATCGTCGCAGTTCCAAGGGGTGTCATCAGGCTCACGAAAGAAGTGGCGCCGGTCTTAAATGGTGTGAATCGAGGATCCAAACCCACAGGGAAACCATTTCTGGTAGGCGAGCTGAAGTAGCTGTAAAAAGAAACAGGCGAGTATTTGTTTTATATCAACGTAAGAAGCGGTTAAAGCTCCAAGCAGACTGATCAACGTTCACATAAATGAAAGTAGTATGCCCACCATTATCAATAATTTAGATCGTGGGTTCTTCTCGAGTATGAGCTGTCGTTTGTCTTCATATGGGCCAAAAGTCCTAATATTATTTGTTTAAATGTATCTGTATAGGTATTCTTACAACAACAACAACCCATCCACTGATTCATTTTTAATGTTAACACATACCAGAGATCGCCATCGTCATTCCCGAGGGCACCTTGGTACCCTGAGAAGGCTTTCCGCGTGTCTAGTGAATCCCGCCCCAGATTCAGATCAGTAACCCTATTAATAACTTCATAAGAAGCAGTTCAGAATAAATATAAAAAATTGTATTAATAATAATGTTACTTTAATGCTCTTCGGCATATCTGCAAAACAATTTAAGGAAATCCATATAAATAATTTAATACGAACATGGCTGTCATCTGGGTTTTACCATACTATACGGCGCTACAACCCAGAAGACAGCCATCTTCGTACTCACGGCTGTGAGAACCTCAAATCCAACCAAGTACATTCTTATTCTCGTTATGCTCTGGGACCCGTGGTGTGCTGGTGGGTGGTTACTTACTCGTTCGGGTTGGCGTTGTTGTACTTCGCTGCGAGGCTCCGCATGAAGTCGCTGTAATTGCGACTCATCATCTGTTCCATATGTTTGAATTGCCCCGCGGAAGAAGACGACGGGCTTGCCGCTCTCTCAGCAGTCAGGGCTCCTGGAGGGGTTCCGGGGTACGACGAGGACGGGGTCGCACTTCTGGAAGACGAACTATTGTTGTCGGGCGTGTTTGAGGTCGCATTGCCGGGTCCACCTCCCGTAACAATGGTCGTGGCGGTGGGGGCCGTAGCAGACGTTGTTGTTGAGGGACTCAGCCTTTCGGTTTTCACGGAGGGATTGTTGTTGTTGTTGTTATGGTGGTGGTGGTGTTCCGTCGTGTTGGAGGCGCCATTCATGGTGGCCGTAGCACCGTTGTCCCTCGATACTGTTGCGCCACGACGCTTTCCCCGAGGCTTGGCTGACGCCACAGCGGCGGATGCTGCACTTGCAGGTACTTGCTGGTGGTGAAGATCGGTTACAACCGGCACAGTCTCGGAGTCTCCCTGACCTTCCCCTAGAACAACCAAAGAATGAAGCCAACTGAATAAACCATTTTAATTGTTTATTCCGTACAATATTTGCTTCACTAAACATTCCAAAGGCGGTTTAAAAAAGTGACCTAATGTGACTGATAATATATTACGTGTTGGTAAATTTATTGTCTGTGGCGTATATCCTGATCTGCGGCCTTGTCGAAAGAGAACAGAAAGATAACAGTTTTTTGAATGAGAAAAGAAGAATTTTAATCAACGACATATAGAGATGCATCACGGTTTTGAAAACACATGACCTTGAGTGCGCAGAAGTTGAAAATGTCGGACGCTACAGCTGCGTGCGCGAAGCTGAAGGCCATGTCAAAACATAGAGCAAATTCCCTATTCATGTGTTTCGCACTGTTATGTTTCAGTTCATAACTCCATGAACACTTTAATGCGAATGATCTTAAAGAAATGCAGATTCACTCAAGTGTTTAATGTATCGAATGTAATGAAAGTTGCAATGCCACTGAGCTTGGTACTGTTAGTTTACCGTGACATCTGTACACTTAACATGCATATTCTTGCGTCGTCATGGCATTTAGTTGGTTGCCTCTTGAAGCGGCAAGCCACGAAGCAGGCAGCAACACCAATACCAATATAATAACATAAATACTGCATGGGGCATTCAACTTCTGACACTACTTCATATGCTCCTGATTTATGTACACAAAATTGTCTAGTCTCCTCCTCCTCAAGAGGACGGCACAGCAATTCGGCAAATATTGTTGTTAACAATTGATTTGTTATAAGCTTAATGCATTCTGCCGAAGGAGTACTTTTCTTTGGCCAGGAATGAACACACACTGAACAAAAAAAAACATGGAAGGATTTTTCATCTTATTTGCTTAGGAATAAAATCTTAAGTTTTTATTCGAAGAAAAACAAAGCCCGACAGAGACGCAGGAATGAAGTTGTGAGACCTGGTCTAACTCTTTAAATACTTGACCAACAGTAATCAAATTTATAAGCAAACGTTTAGCACACACGCTAATAAAATTAATAATATCCTTTCTTAAAGGTCACAAATCCTACATGTAGCTTCGGCTGCTAAGTGTAAACAAATAACTTTGTGCCTTTTGTTTAATGAAGGAACTGAACCGGTGGCGTACTGTCAAAGAACACAGCGCAAAATACTTAAGACGAGGATCTGCTGATGCCGTAAATTACGAATTGGGAAGAGGAACCCATCACCAGCTGTAGGGGGACGAAAGGAATGGTTATGAAACAACGTTTTTCTTTTTTTTACCAAAAAATTTCCCGTCAAGAATGACGGGAAAATCTGAATCAATGCTTAAAAACAAACTTATATCGAAATAGATGGCTGTCTTCTGGGTTGTAGCGCCGTGTCGTCTGGAATAGAAGTTTTCCAACGTTTGAGGGGTCATTGCTGCCCTGATGATGGAAGCAGCATGGTTTCCTCAAGTCACCTCCAAGCAAATGCCAAGAATACCTAAAAAGGGCTTGCTTTCAGATCCATGCCAACATTATCATCATTCTTAATCATTTTTCCAGCTTTTTGAAACTGTAATTTCTGTAATAGGCACTGAAGAGAATATAAAACACGTATCACGTATAACAATAAAAGTAACAATTTTACGAGCTGTAGTGTTTGAACAGTTTTAAATTCCAGTTGATTTTCATGCCATATTAGTGGAAGTAAGGAAGTCACGAGGTAAAGAATAAGTGTTTGTTCTTTGTTAAACATTCTGCAGGTAATAAAAATTGTTGTAAAATTATAACAAAAGGCTTCTATGAAATGAACATGAATTAGCATAGACCTATGTCTAAAAAAATGTTGAAGGGTGGTAGGATTCCATATTTCACGTCAACTATACAGTCTAACTACGCTGTTCCAACAAGTGCGTTTGTTACAACATGTGTTTCACTATTTTGGGAGTTAGGAACTACTGCCATAGATCTATTCTCTTGGACTCCCCCCCACGGGTCCATGGTACGCAGTGTGGGAACACTAATGTAACTCAGTTTATTGTCACACACCTTCAATGATAGAACAACATAAAATGTGAAACAATGTTTGTTAAAAATCATATAAATATATTAATTTATAATAGAATGTAAAAAAGACATACCCATTTTACGTATACTGTTGTCATATCGAATATTAAATAAATATATTAGGTATTAAGAATCCTTGTTAAATGTCCCACTAATAAGCACCTTCCATAATTCTTTGACCGCCACGGTGGTCTAGCGGTTAGAACGCTGGCCTTGTAATCCCGGGGTCCCGGGTTCGATTCCCGGCGGTGCCCGAATTTATAACTTGTTTGGGCAAGGCCGTGGTCTAGGCCAGTGGTATTCAACCTGGGGTAAGCGAAGACATCTTAAGGGGTACGTTAAATTTAAAAAAATATTATTTTATGATAAGCACTGAATAATCAGGGCCAGATTTAATACATTATTTTGTATGTAATTTATTTAATTTATTTTAGATGTAGATTATATACTATGTATAACTTGAATTATACACCAACAACTTTGGGGGTACAAAGTTGAAGAGAAATTATATCTGTGGGTACGCGAACAAAAAAGGTTGAATACCACTGGTCTAGGCAACACGGAGTTTTCCTCCGGGGCTTCCCCGGTTTCTCCGTGGCATCCCAACAAATACTCCTTGAAGAAGGTAATGGCAAACCACTTCTGTATCACCTGCCTAAAAAACTTATATGAACAGGTCCCAGTCCGAGAAAAGGACGGAAGGATCCTGTTCATATGTCGCCAATCTCCTATAAAGGAGACGGCGTAATAAAGAAGAAGAAGATAATTCTTCGATTTTATTGTACTTTTTCAAAGCCAGGATATAATACCGAAATGCTTTGTTACTGGCGCAGGTGTTATTCCAGAACAATGGATTGTTGTGTTGGAGACATCGGCCTCCGCTTGTTGGCTAGCTTAATTAAGATGCGGTACATGGACCAGGACGCCTGTCGACAGGTAACAGGTACATTCTTGGCAAGCAGGAAGGAAGGACAGACGTGAGCAAAGAGGAGGGACAACGCGGCATGAAGAGGCGCGGCGAGGAGAGGAAAGAGGGTTGGAGGACACTCCATTTGTCCTCTGACGATAGAACACAGGAAACTTCTCACTGACACAAGCGACACACAATTCTCGCAGCTTTATTACGGCGTTTGCTTCTAAAGAACTTATCGACTAGCTTCAAAGTTGGAAAACTCACACTTAACAGGTTTCTTCTGCGACAGAGTTCCGAATTTCCACTGTTCGAATGCAGGCCAAATAATGGGATACCTGGTTATCGGGATTTCTTCATTCGTGACCTATTTCGGAATGTGGAAGACAGAACAGCTCAGTCGAAGTGTAACTGGCGTACGGGTGAGACAACCGGGTTTGATTCAAGCAAGGAAAGAAGAGTGTTTCTCGCCGTCACCACATTCTCCTATCGAATGGGCACCTGGTTCAAATGTTTCCAAACAGGCCTATTATGAATCGGCGTTCTACCTTCAGAGACGGGAAAAACGTTGCTTTAAAACAAAAACACGGGCAGAATTAGGACTCATATTATTAAAAACTAAATTCATATAGTTAAAGGTAAGAACAGATTTTTTTTTATAAAGTTACTATTCAGATCACCTAAAATATCAACCAAATTAAGTATGACCACTTATATTAATCACATTAAATTCCCCCAATACTGCATAAATCTATAATTTAATCAAACGCAGATCAGCTAAACCCCCTGTTTAATGCGTAGATATGGGCTAAATGGTCATACTACTAAACGTTATCTTATTACAGGAGACGAAGCAGAGGCTATGAACATGTGAAGCTATAAATTCACTTCCCCATACTTCTGTCACATGACGTGGATTGTTTAAGCAAAGTAACAACTTTATCTTTTATGTAATTTGTGGTTCATTCTGAAAATGACCCTACATTTTCTTTACTTGTTCCTTTCTTTTCTGTCCTTCGTCCTTCATTACCCTAAGAGAGACCCAGTGAACCCGTGGGAAACGTTAACTATAGCCATCAAAATGGACGACGTTCCAGAGAGAAAAAATTGTAAAAGAAGAAGCCAGTCAAAATCTATTCGCGTTATGCTGGTCTCTTCTGGAACATGGCCGCAGCGGTTTGACGTACTGGTGACATTCCTAAGCATCCCTCAGACTCAACCTCATGCCATTGTTCTCATGTCAAAAGTGTTTCGTGGCCTTTAGCTACTGTGCGTGTCGTCTAGAACAGCGACCGTGACTGCAGGACAGGAATGCAATATTTAGATAACAATATCACATACAAGAACCCTTTTATGGCGTTTAGAAGTGCAGGTTTAATAGCGTGGCTAACACAGAAGCACGAGCGGGAATAAGAGACGATTTATTTAATGTATAAATTTATAACCCAGTACAACAAACTGAGACTATGGTGAGGGGCGGTTACACGGAGTAAGTTGAATCAAGCGGCAACGCTTCGTGGAGGTGACAGGTTCGAATCTCGAATGGACACCGATTATCTTGGTAACCGACGTTTCGGAAAAACTTTCCGCCTCTGATCTCAAACACAGTGGGGACATCGAATCTCAAGACACTTTGAAACACGACACGACCATTCTCTTCACAAAACTTTCATGTTCACTGAACGTAAACATCGTCTCATATCATCTGATGCTAAACAAGCTCTGCAGTTAGTACAGAAGTGTCAAAATAACAATACATACACAAACTCCACCTAGTTGCCTGTAACCCACAAAACATTGGCTATCACTCATGTACACTGCCTCGTGTAATTTTTACAAAATCTAAGAAAATAATATTGGAGTAACAAAAGCTCTTAATATTTCTCTACCCTGCCAGAATTCACTTTACAAGCTCCTTACTTATCTCTGTTTGTTTTGTTTTATAAAGAGGATTCCTTTCACAAAACTAAATAAATTGTTAGGGCAGCAGAGAAATTCCATCTCCATTGGAGGACTGTTTGATGCTTGCCGACACGACAAGAGAATTCC